CTGCCGCAGTGTGGCTTGATGAGTGGTGCTAGGTCTGTGCCCGGGATCCAAACCCATGAAACCCGGACCACCAAAGCAGAGTACACAAACTCAACCACTACTACGCCACCAGGTCGGCCCTGAGATACATTTTACATAATATTAAGTTCGCTTATTTCAGGTATACAATGCAATGATTTCTAGAAATTTCATCAAGTAACTACAACTATTACCGTAAATCAGTTTTAGAACACTTTCATGCCTCCCATAAGATCCCTACGTCCATTTGTAAAATAATAGGTTTATGTGAGGTATAATTCACATACCATTCAATTCAGCTAAAGTATACAATTCAGTAGTTCTTAGGATATTCATAGAGTTGTGTAACCGTCACCATGTCAGTTTTAGAACATTTCCATCACCCCCTTCCAGGAAAACCCTGTACCCATTAGCAGTCACTCCTCTTCCCTCTTCCTCCAAAGCCTTAAGCAACCACTTTCAATCTAAGCAATCAATTTCAGCAATCTACTTTCAGTCTCTATGGATTTGCCCATTCTGGACATTTCATACAAATGAAATCATAGAACATGTGCTATTTGTCTTTAGCTTCTTTCACTTAGCATGTTTTCAAGGTTCATCCGTTGTAGCATGGATCAGTACCTCATGTCTTTTCATTGCTAAATAATATTCCATTGTATGGACATACTGTATTTTCTTTATCCATTCATCAATTGACGGACATTTGGGTTGTTCCACTCTTGGGCTATTGTGAATAACGCTGCTATGAAGATTCATGTACAAGCTTTCGTGTGGATGTGTTTTCGATTCTCTTGGGTAGACACCTAGGGGAGGAATTCCTTGGGCTGCACGGTGGTTCTATGTTTAACCTTTTGAGGAACTGTCAAACGTTTTTCCAGAGTGGCTGTACTATTTTACATTCCCTCCAACAGTGTACAAGAGTTCCAACTTCTCCACATCCTTGTCAGCACTTGTTATTATCTGTCCCTTTGGTTATTGCCATCCTAGTAGGTATGAGGTGGTGTCTCGCAGTTTGGATTGGCATTTCCCTAATGGGTGGCTCATGATGTTGAGCATTTTTTCATGTGCTTATTGGCCATTTGTATATCTGCTTTGGAGAAATATCTGTTCACATCCTTTGTCTATTTTTTAATCGGGTTATTTATATTTTTATTATTGAGTTGTAAGTGTTCATTTTATATTCTGGATGCAAGTCCCTGATTAGATATATGGTTTGCAAGTATTTCCACCCATTCTGTAAGTTGTCTTTTTACTTTCTTGATGAAGTCCTTTGCAACAAAGAATTTTCCAATTTTGATGAAGTCCTATTTATCTATTTTTTTCTTTTGTTGCTTGTACTTCTGGTGTCATACCTAAGAAACTATTGCCTAGTCCAAGGTCATGAAAATTTATGCATGTGCTTTTTTCTAAGAGTTTTATAGTTTTAGCACTTATATTTAGATCTTTGATTCATTTTGAGTTAAATTTTGTATATGGTGTGTGTTAGGGGTCCAACTTCATTTTTTCACATGTGGATATCCAATTGTCCCAGAACCATTTGTTGAAAAAATTATTCTTTCTGCATTGAACTGTCTTGGCACCCTTGTCAAAAACCAATTGGTTGTAGAAGCCAGCCCTGTGGCGTAGTGGTTAAGTTCACGTGCTCTGCTTTGGTGGCCTGGGGTTCATGCATTCAGATCCCAGGCGTAGCCCTACACGCCACTCATCAAGCCGTGCTGTGGTGACATCCTACATAGAGAATATAGGAAGATTGGCACAGATGTTCGCTCAGGGCCAATCTTCCTCACCAAATAAGTAAATAAGAATGACAAGCAATTTATTTTTTTAAAAAATCAATTGACTGTAAATGTGGGGGCTTATTTCTGCACACTCAATTCTATTCCATTGATCTATATGTCTATCCTTATGCGTGTCTTGACTTCTGTAGCTTTGTAATAAGTTTTGAAATTGGGAAGTGTGAGTCCTCCAACTTTTTCTTTTTTGAGACTCTTTCGACTATTCTTGGTCACTTATATTTCCATATGAATTTTAGGATCAACTTGTCGATTTCTGCAAAGAAGCCAGCTAGAATTTTGATGGAGACTGCATTGAATCCATAAATCAATTTGCGAAATATTGCCATCCTTTCATTTATTTAGATATTAATTTCTTTCAACAATGCTTTGTAGTTTTCAGAATATAAGTTCTGCACTTCTTTGGTTAAATTTATTCCTAAATATTTAATTTTTGAAGCTATTGCAGATGAAGCTGTGTTCTTAATTTCATTTTTTTGAGTTGTTCATTGCTAGCGTATAGAAATACAACTAATTTTGTGTGTTTATCCTGTATCTTACCACCTTACTGAACTCATTTACTAGGTTTATATTTTTTAATGGATTCCTTAGGATTTTCTATATACAAGATCATGTTATGTGCAAATAGAACTAGTTTTTCTTCCATCCAAACCAGATATCTTTTATTTCATTTTCTTGCCTAATTGCCTCAGCTGGAACCTTCAGAATAATGCTGAATAGAAATGGGGGGAGTAAGCATCCTTGTTTTGTTTCTGATCTAGGGGGAAAGCATTCAGTATTTCACAATTAAGTATGATGCTATCTGTGGGTTTTTCACAGATGCTCTTTATCTGGTTGAAGAAGTTCCCCTCTATTCCTACTCCATTGTTTTTTGTTGAATCACGAAGGGGTGTTGAATTTTGTTAAATGTTTTTTCTGCATCTACTGAGACGATCATGTGGTTTTGGTTCTTTATTCTACTGATAATGGTGTATTACATGAATTGATTTTCAGGTTTTTAAACCAACATTGCACTCCTGGGATAAATTCCCAGTGTATAATCCTTTTTATTTATACGTTGCTGGATTTGGTTTGCTAGTATTTTGTTCAGGCCACTCAACAAAAATTCAACTCCAATCTCAGGCAACCACTAATTTACTTTTTGTCTCTATAGCTTCGCCTGTTCTGGACAGTTCATAAAAATGGAATCAACAACACGTGATCTTTTGTGATTAGCTTCTTTCACTCAGCCTATTGTGTTTGAGAGTCCATATTGTGTCAGTACTTCCTTCCTTTTTATGGCTGAATAGCATTCCAGTGTATGCATCTAATATTTTGTCTCTGTTTACAGTTGATGGATATTAGATGTTTCCAGTTTGGGGCTATTATGAATAATGCTGCTACGAACATTCATGTGCAAGTCTTGTCTTTGCATGAACATGTTTTCATTTCTCTTGAGTAGACACCTAGGAGTGGAATTACTGGGTCCAAACGCTTATCTTTCCAAGGAACTGCCAAAGTGGCTGCATCATCTTACTTTCCCACCCGCAAAGTACGTGGGTTAGCTGGGAACTTATTTAAACTGAATGTTTCCTCATCTATAAAGTGGTGATAACAACACTGACCTCATAAAGTGAGCATTAAATGAGACTATGATGTGTGCAGGACTTAGCACAGTGCTGGGCCCAGCCAGACACACAGAAAGGCTTAATAAATGGCATCTTTTTAATGTTGCCTTGTCATTGCTAACGTCTCAAACCTCAGACCCTGCTTTGCTCACCTGGGCGATATTGTCTTCATGCCTTCCACGGAAACTGACTTCGGGGTATCAAGTTACAGACACTTCTCATTAGTCAGTCCCCCCTGTCGTCTAACAGGACCCCCAGGCCTAGTCCCCTTATCCCACTGCCCTCAGGGCTGTCAACCTCTTTGGCTCAGTGGGCTTTCCTAGGGCAAAGGCTCCAAATTGGCAGCGTTGGGGCAGCAGGCAGTGCTCCGCGTGCCTGTCATTGTCTGCTGGATGACAGGACAGAAGGTATTGATTGCTCTGCTTGGAAGGGAGGTCTCCCGTCCCCCATATGCCTGAACTCCAGGCTACTCCTATTCATCCTGTAAGACATAGTTTGGGTACCTCCTCCTCCAGGAAGCCTTCCCAATGACCAATTCCCTCTCCCCGCAACTCCTATAATGTATATTACTGCAACTGTCACATCATTCATAACTATATTTCTGTGTCTGTGTCTTGTGAGCATCCTGAGGGTGGGGACTATTCTTATTCACTTCTATCTCCCCAGTGCCTAGCACATAGCAGGTATTCAATAACCCATAAGTAACCATATCCATGTACAAAGTATTAATGGTTACAAGTTAGTGTCAAGGAAAACTGCAGAAAATTTCCTTGAACTGGGCCTAGAAGAATAAGCAGAAGGCTGCTCAGCTGAAATGGAGAGAGGGCACACCAGGTGGAGTGAACAGCATGAAAAAAGAAAAACCCAGAAGAGGGAAAGGATGTTGTTCTGAGGAACTGACACAGAAGCCAGTGTGGCTATGGGTGGTGGGAAGGAGTGGCCAGTGAGGCTGGAAAGGTAGGGGAAGCCAGGTATAAGGTTGCAAATGGCTTTTCATGCCAAGCCAAGGGGGGGACTTCATCCTGAGGGCAGAGAGGAGCCACCCACTAAGTAGGGGAGTAACACGATTAGAGCTGCATTTTAGAAGGATCTCTCTGGGGTACGGTCATGGGTTCTCAAACTGCAGCTGCATTAAAATCACCGGGAGGGCTCATTAAGAGATTCTGGGTCCCCTCCCGTGAGTTTCTGGTTCAGAAGGTCTGGGGTGGGGCCTGAGAATATGAATTTGTCTCAAGTTCCCAGGTGATGCTGGTCTGAGGACCACACAGTGAGAACCACTGATGTAGAGGATGGGATGGAGAAGAGTGGGGAGCAGCAAGAAGAGTAAGGAAGCTGTTGAAACCCCCTAGGTGGGAGGTGACAGAGGCAGAGCAGGCAGGTGCTCACATCTTACATCTGAGCGCTGGTGACTTTTCAGTGTCTTAATGGTGAGATTTCAGGCATGGTACTAAGCCAACGTGGGAAAGGGAGGCTGTTTCTGGGGAAAAGTCAGCCAGTTGGTCAGGATAGTCCCTACCCCTAAGCTGGGAGGACCAGATGCACACTTGACAACAACCTTCAGAAAGGACAACAGAGACGCAGCGCCCAGAGTTGCCATTTAATGCCCGATTATCACAACATGAGGAGGTTTACACAGTGCTCATCGAGGCAGGACCCAGGCGAAACCAGGCCAGCGGTAAGTGACCCGTGTGGAGCCCTAGCACAGGACCCACTCGCCCTTGAGACGTGTGCCACATACAAGGCTTCTTCACTTACCCAGGAGCCAGGAGGCTGGCCGGGCTTCTGGTCACTGAGGATCCTTTGGGAGAACAGGGTCCCAGGATGAGTTGGGGACCTCAGGACACAATGATGAGAACCAGAAAGCTGCTTGCAAACAACCCCAAAAGCTTTCCCTTCAAATGCACTAAGCCACACAGCGCTCGGATGAGGGGACACCCAAACTCTTTCACTAAAAACTCTAAACACTGTGCGGAACTGAAGCTGAGAACACCTGGGGAGAGAAAATAAAGTCAAAACCATCCTGGAGCCGCTTTTACGAGCTGCACCATCTCGCTCTTCTTCCTGCAGCCACGCTAGTCAGCCCACAGCATTGCCGTGGGGAGGGGACGCCGCTAAGGTGGAGCCAACACTTTTAGCGGGAAGGGACACAGGAGCACGTCCCTGGTGTCAAGCCATCTCTTTGAATCCCCAACTCTACTGAACAATTTAATGCTACCGGGTTCCCTGGAGCCCCCGGGGCCTTTGATGCCCCGGGGACACAGGTGACTTGGGGGCTGCTGGTGGGCTGGGAAATTTCCTGGCAGAAATAATGTACTTCAGAAAAAACTGGCTTTCCTTCTGCCCTGGTTTTAAAGTTTCCCTGGCCCCTAAAGGAAATACCACTCCAAATGCATTCTTAAAGCACTGGAACATGGGAGGTTCCAAGCGTCACTGGCAAGGAAGACGTAAGAGCTTCTTTCCCATCCTGAGCCTGAGGCTTGGCCTGGGCGGTTCAGCCCCTGGGCCAGGCAGGGTGTGGAGAGGACAGCACAGGAGGGGGCAGGGGCAGCTGCTCAGGATACAGGCCATGGGCCCAAGGGGCAGCCCCTCTGTCCAGCCCTATGGCTGGGCATTCAAAGAGCTTGAATTCTGGCCAGATTTCATCATTAAACTCATTCCCGGTGGATCCTGCAGGCCTCTCTTTTCTCTATTCCAGGAGAAAGTTCTAGACAATCCACGGCATGGAAGTCAAACATCTCTGTCCTCAGAGATGGTGCATGGCTAAACGGCAGCCCAGCGGAGACCTCAGAACAGCAAGGCCATCTTCAGTCCCACATGCCCCAAACCAGAGCCCATGCAGCTCCCCTCACCCCCGCCCAAAGGTCAAGGTGGTCCCTTGGCCCTTGGCCTCTTGAACTTCAAAACAGGCTTCTGATGAGACCCCTGTGAGTATCTGGGGAGGGGAGATTAACGGCATTTCTGTAAAGCATACAAAATTAGCCCTGTCTATAGAGCGGGGCATCTGTGACCTGATGGCCATTCCAGAGAGGGCCCTAACTTGGGAGCCCAGGAAACGGAGCAAATGACAAGGCACCACTGTCCCAAGCTGGACATTAGCTCACATCAGACCCCACCCCCAAAGAAGCCCACCTCTCAAAATTCAGATGCCAGTTGGTGAGCTCAGGAGCTCTCTTACGAGGCCAATTTCATATTTTAAATCAACTTAATGCTACAAACTTAAACAAAAAGTGCTGCCCAGCTGAGCCCCTGAGGAAACCTAGCTCCCTGAGGGTGGGCGGGGGCCTCTGAGACCACCACCCCTGGCTGCCTCTCTCCAGAAGGCACAGCCTTGGTTCAGCCCAGAGCACCCCCCATCCCAGGCTGGGTCAAAGGGGAGAGTTGTGTCCCCCTTGCCCAGCTGGGCTACAGGGACAGTGTGGGATGGTCAAGCCTCTGGGGGATGGGGTGAGGCCAGACCTTCTCAGGACCCCAAGCCTGAAGAGGTAACACGAGCCCATCTCCCCATTAGCTGGTCTGCAAGGAAGACTCGTCCCTGTCACCCCTTCAGCATTCCTGTGACAAAAGGAGCCAACATGCCATCAAGCCCTGGTCACCTCTGTCCCTGGGGGGGGGTCTATGGGAGAGCTGGGGGGAACAGGAGGTCCTTAAAGAATCACCCCCCTTCAACAAACATGGCAAAAAAACGATCCTTCCAGGGAACGGGAGGACAATACTGGCAGCTACCAGGGCGGGAACTTTCTGGCAGTTTCTGGTTTTCATCCCACCCTTCTCTGGGGTGGAGCTGCCCGGGTCCTCAGCATCAAACAGCCCCATCCCAGAGGGAGGCAGAGCCGAGGACAGGTGCCCGCGGCAGCTGTTACAGCTGCTTCCACATTCCTGTCCGTGTTTCCACAGGGGCACTTCTCTGCTGACCCCCCGGAGGATGGTGTTTTACATTCTAAGGCAAGAGGTAAGGGGTTCCACAGGAAGAGGGTCTCCTTAACTGGCTGCTCCAGTTTCCTCAGAAGCCCAGGGCGCCCTGGAACCATCTCTGGGACAGAGGAGACCAGGAATGTGGGGCTAGAGTCGGCAAGCTGAGAGCAGGAGAGGCCACAGGGCCTGCAGCTGCAGCCGCGACAGAACCTTGGGGCCGAAGAGCAATCAGCATTTCAGCCGACGGCCGGCCCCTCCGAGACGCAGCCCCAGCCACCAGCACAAATCAGGGAGTTGGCCCGGCCAGGCCTAGGCCTGCCCTTGGCCCGTGGACAGCGTTGGGCCTGTCGGAGGAGAAGTCTTACTAGAAACTAGAACAATCTCCCTGCTAAAACTCAGGGAAGACAAACAAACAAAACTCCACCTGAAATAAATACAAAGGTATTAAGTGCTTCTTGATAAATCGAGGGTCCTAATTACCCCTCAAAAAGCAGTGGCAGGACCTTTCCTTATACCTAGCCACCTCACCTGTGGCCCTTCACATGAGAGGTCAGAGGTCAGAAGACTGGCTAGGCCTTCCCAGGCCCAGCTTCCACTAGGAAGGTCAGGACCCGACGCCTGATACACTCCTCACCTGCGGCCTCCACACCGCCCCCGCGAGACACTTCGGCCAGCAGGGAGGCGGAAAAGGAGAGGAGGAGACCCCCAGATCCTGACGGCAGCACCTTGTGTCCAACGTCCCTGCACAGGCAGAGGACCTGTCAGTCTGTCTGGGAGGAGGTAGAGACAGGAGCAGGGCTGCAGGGGACAGGCAGGGCCACTCAATTAAGCAGCAGTTCCGAGAGGTCGTAGGAGTCGAAGAGGTCACTGATGCCCTCACCACCGTCCAGGCCCCACAAGTAGTCATCCTGGTCCAAGGGCGGGGAGAAGCTGATCAGAGGGGAGCTGCCCGGTAGGGTCGGGGACAGGAACTGGTCCTCAGTCTGCTGCAGAAGAGGGTGTGGCAGCTCCAGCATGCTGTCAGTGGCCTCCAGGGGGACAAGGGATGGTGGTGGCGGCGGTGGGACCTGCTGGGGAGTCAGCGCTGGCGCTGGAGACAAATAGACAAGGGTTATGCTTGCCCTGGTGCCCAAAAGCCCTGGTCAGACCTCAGAGCGCAAGAACAGCCTTCTGGTTCTCTGATGACGGTGCACCCTTCTCCTTTCTCCTACCCTGCCCCACTCCTAATGGCACAGGGTCACCCTCCCTTTCCCGGCACCAGCTCTAGCCACCGCCCTCATTCTCCCATCCTCTCTCCCCTCTCCTCTCACAGTGGGTGGGGTCTCCTGCTCTCAAAACCCACCCCCAGCTTCTACACTCAACCCAACTCCCTTTCACCAAGGCCCTTGCCCCTGAAATAATTTTTCTTCCTCCTGCACCGTCAATTTCTCTCACTCTACATCATTCCCACCAACACAGACACACTCTCATAACTCCTGTCTTTAGAGAGCACCCTCCCTGACCTCGTGACTCTCTCCAGTCACCAGCCCGTTTCACTGCTCCGTTTCATGGTGGAACTTCTCAAGAACCGCCTGTCATACTCCCTCCTTCCCCACCGCTGTTCACTTCTCCTACCCACTCCAACCTGGGGTCTGTCCCCACCACGCCACTGAGCCAGGGACCTCCATGTGGCTAAATCCAATGGTCAGTTCTCTGCCTTCTCTTATTTGACCTTCCAGCAGAATCTGATTCAGTTGTTCCCATCCTTCTTGAAACATCTTCCTCCCTTGGTTTTGGACGCACCAGCTTCCCCTGGTTTTCTTCTTACCTCTTCGGCTACTTCTCCTTGGTCTCCTTTGCTGGATTCTCCTTCTCTTCCCAACTAAACCCTGATGACCCCAGGGCTCCACCCTCAGCTTCTTCTCTCCTCCAGCGGCTCTCCTCCTGCCCTGTGGCTTTAAATCCCTCTTTCGACCTACTGCTCCCAAGTGGAGGCCTCTGGCATGGACCTCCTCCCAGAGCTCTGGGGCCCTGCAGGACTGCTTCTGTAACATCTCTACTCGGATGTCTAAGGTGCATCAGAACTCAGAACTCAGCGGGTCAAAACCAAGCTCCTGGTCTTCCCCTGAACCTGGGCCTCCCCTCGTCTTGCCCCATCACAATTAAGGAAACACCACTCACTCAGTTGCCTTGACCAAAAGGCCCAAGAATCACTGTAACCCTGACATGTCCCCTGCATCCACTCCAGCAGCAAGTTCAGTCATCTCTACAACCAAACGAATTCTCCAAGCTGCCCCTTTCTCTTTAGTTCCACTGCGGTGATCCTGGTCCGAGTCCTCTCCTCTCACTAGGCCCCTGCAGGAGGTGCCTCTTGCCCCTTGCAGTCTGTGCTTGGATTGAAAAATGGCCTAGAACAAAATCCAAGTTCCCACCAGGGCTGGGAAGGCCTGTGTGGCCTGGCCCTGCCTGCCTTCCCACTCCTTCTCCCACGTTCCTCCCACAGCTCACATGCACCCTCTCCAGCCACGCTGGTCATCAGCTACGCTTCAGTACACCAAGCTTGTTTCCCCCTTGAGGTAAGACGGTGGTTTCCTACACAGGGATGCGGAACAGGGCACCAGAAATCCCCTGCCATATATCCCGATGCCCGCAGTCTCACCATCTGAGTCATTCCCTAACCCCCAACCAAGCCTTGTTTGAAAATGCAACTGTGCTGGTAGGCCAGACTACCTGGTCAACCCCTTACTAGCCACGTAACTGTGGGCAAGTGACTTAATGTGTGTGAGCCTTGGGGTCCTCACCTCTAAAATGGGGACAATGATTACACCGCCCCACAGTGTTGCTAAGAGGATTAAATGGTAAGCGCAGGGAAAGAGCAGCTGATCTGCAGAAACCCCACCTTGTGTCTGCACGCCCTTGTCAATAATGAGAATGGCTCCCATTACCCAGGGCTTACGGGGGCCTGGCTCTGCTCTTAAGGACACTCACGTGGCAATGTTGTTAACCCTATTTACAGATGAGGAAACTGAGGCTGAAAGGAGTCAATTAAATGTATTTGAATGAAAAAAAATCTAATGTTCCTTTAGTGCGCTGCAGAGGTGTGCAGGTGTTATAGTAAGAGGCCTGGCTTGGGAGCACGGAGGAGGTGGGCTCCGACCCCAGCCCCACCGCTCACTGGCTGTAGGACCCGCTGCCTCAGTTTTAGAGACGTGGGGACAGAGGCTGGGAGGGGTTAAAGCGACTCGCCTATAGTCACCAAGTCATAGGAGGTGAGGTGCAGACTCAAAACCAAGTCTCCAGTTCTAGCTCCTGCACCGTCGGCCACGTCTAGGTTCACTCAGAAGGTCGGGGCCTGGAGGGAGGTCAGAGACGACCCTTGTTCCCTTCCATTACAGATGAGGGAAACTGAGGCCCCAAAGGGTTAGCGATCCCCCGCTGATGTCAGCACTAGGGACAGAGCTGGGTCCCAAGATTGCAGTAGCCTCCTCGTTGGGCGTGACCCCTGCACTCACACCTCACGAAGACCCCGCTTCAGGCCAGAACGCGGAGGGGGTGTGTGGGGGTGTGTACCCTGTCCAGAAAACTTCCTCCTGCTCCCTTCAGCAGGGACAGCACTGAGACGCCACGTAGCCAGGGTGGAAAGGGGCAGCCATGGCATGACCCCTGGCACAGAGCCGGCTGTGTGGCCCCATCAGCAACTGCCCTGTATGGCTCTACTCCTCTCGGGCCTCACACTCTTAATCTGTACAACCAAGGTAAAACCTGGCCCTCGCTCACGCTGCAGGGTCCCCCACCTCCGCCCAAGGTCTTGGAGGACGATGGAAGTGAAAGTGGTTCTAACTTTGGAGAGCTGTACACATGTTGACAGTGGGGTGAGAAGGCAGAGCGCAGGAGGAGGGAGAATGGGGTGAGGCACAGGTCTGGACAGGGAGATAGGCATTGGGAGGTGCCCAGAGCGACAGATGGCTGGTGCAGGGAGAAGCCTCGGTCTCTGGACAGGGCCAGGACACAGGAGACATCACTAGAAAAGGGAGTCTGGGCTCTTGCCCAAGCTCTACCACCAACTTGCTGTGTGATCTTGGGGAAGTCATTGGCCTTCTCTGGGCCTCAGTTTATTCACGAGTAAAATGAAAGGTTGAGTTAGATTAGGGTCCAGCAAACTCCTGTAAAGGGCTGGATAGTTTTTTAGGCTTTGCAGGACACGTATGGTCTCTGCCACACAGTCACTTCCCTTTTTTTCTTCCCCCACAACCCTTTAAAAACATGAAAACCATTCTTAGCTCAAGGATCACATACAAACAGGCCAGATGTGGCCTGCAGGCAATACTTTGTCAATCTATGAGTTAAAGAAATGGAATCCAACCTGTGTTCTGTGGACTCCCCCACCAAGGCTCCTCCATCAGACCAGTTCTAGCTCTGTGCCTGCTTACACATGAGGTTTCTACTTAAGGGAATTCTACTGCTAAGAAAACAAAACGTGGGACACGGGCCTACAAGGCCTCAAAGGATCCTGCGAGCCTGACCTGATGTGTATCCCAGTAAAGGGCAAAAACCATTCTCGGGGAGAGGCCTTCCCAGGCTCCCATTTCTTCTCCTTCCGGACTCCCGCCCTCCCTAGGAAGCCCTCAGGGACCTCTCCCACCTCTTTGCTCCCTGGCAATGGCCTCACACTACTTCCTGCCGGGCACAGCCAGCTTTTAGCTGTACTGTCCACCCCGCAGCCAGGAGTGAGCCTCTCCAGCCAGGGCCCCTTCCTTGATTCGCTCTGTGCCTCAAGGAGAGAGCACTGGGCTAGGAGTGTGTGTACCGAGGTTCAAGACAGCTCTGTGCTCGCCCAGCTGGGAGACCTTGGGCAAGTTACACCACATCTCTGGCTCAGTTCATTTATCTCTAAACTGGGAATAACAGACCCTACTCCAGAGCTGCTGTCAGGAGTAATGTGAAGCGGGTGCAGCTGGTACAGTTGTGGTTCAAAAAACCTTAGCTATTATCTCCCAAAAAAGTATTGAGCTTTCCTCAAAAAACCTATAGTTTCTATTTCCTGTGGGCTTATGGGGTAGTTGTCATGGAGCTAGCAGGACTAGTGGCAGTGGCAGTGATGAGGGTAATAACAGCTGACAGTTGTTGCCAGGCACCCTCTAAGCGCTTCCCTATATTGACTCATTTCGTTCTCACAACAAGCCGTGAAGTAGATACTATTCGTTACTATGCTCAACTTACAGATGGGGAAATTGAGGCAAGGAGAGGTTAAGTAGCTTGTCCAAGGTCACACAGCTGGTAAGTGGAAGAGCTGGGGCTCAAACCCAGGCCCCCGCTCTGCCCCAGGGCAGCAGCAGCCTGCCAGTGAGACGAGGAGGAATGGCATGTGCCTTATAGAGTGTAAAGGGTGATGCACACATGTGGGGGAGGACGGCATCCTCTGCTGCTGGGTAGAAGGTGGGTACCCCACAAACGTTGCCGTGGAAGAAGAAACTCTGAGGCTGGTTGCTCTCCCCACCTCCTATCCCTCTGGACAGAGGGCCCTACCTGGGGATGCCGTGGGTTTCAGGGTCCCGGGGTCGGTGCTGCTGCTGGGCTGAATGGAGTCAGGGCTGGGGCTGCGGGTGGAGGTGGAGGGGAGGGGTTCCTTGGCAGGACTGTCTGGATCCTGCACTTCCTCGGGGCACAGGTAGACTTCGATGGGCCCCTGCGTGCTCTTCAGATATATCTGCAGGTTCTCCTGGAAGAGGAAGAGAAGCCAGGTCATGGCTCTGGGCAGCTGGATACTTACTTATGGGTGAATGTATATGAACATGTGGCTCTTACTGTCCACAAGAGCAGGCTCAACTCCGGAGCTGGGCTCTGGGCTGGCCCCCTCTGGCCTGTGGACATCTGCTTTGTTGCCTGTCTGGCCCCAGGTCCCTTCTTTTGGGGACAGCACCTTGATTTTCCTCTGGGAAGTCACTCCTCCCCCCACTCTCAGGCCTGCAGTTGTGGGGGGTGGGGGGGCAGCACCCTTCCCCAATTCCAGTGGGTGAGCCTGGGATGCAGGCGGGGAAAGTCAGAACGAGGTGACTACCTTCAGGGTGGCACATGGCTCAGGTCAGTCCAACCAGCATCAGGCTCAGGAGGTGTGGGAAATGGAAGCTCCCTCCCGCTGGGGTTGCTGAGCCGGTATCATAAAAGCTATCTTTGCCACCGCAAGGAGAGAGCCCCCCTGGGAATGGAGTCAGCAAAGAGGATGGCAGAGTGAGAGATGGAGAGCGTGAGGCGGACTTGAACTCACAGTTGGAGGCCCTGCATCTGGCCTCGTCTGCAATCGCCAAATCTTCCCCCTGCCGCCCCTCTCACTTAAGCCAGCTGGACTCAGCTTTCTGTTACTCGTAACTGAGAGTCCTGATCCTTGGCCTTCGCAGCCCTGCCTCTTCCCTACCCCAGACCCGCAGCTCCAGTCACGACTGGCTACACACGCGCCATTCAGCCCGCATTCCGGTCTCCATGCCTGTGCTCATGCGGTACCCTCCACCCACCCCTACTTCACCTGGCAAAAGTCCTATTCATTCTTGAAGACCCAGTTTAAGTGTCACCACTTGTGGACTCTTCCTCCAACTGTCCTTTCTCTGACCCTAAAAATACATCTTCGGTCTATAAATGACAGCATCACTGCTTGCTGGGGTCTTTTTCCCACTAGGTCTTGAGCTCCTCCAAGGCAGGGTGGGGCCTCATTTATCTTAATGTTCTTTCATTAAACAAATTAATTCTCAAGCCCTTATTATGAGTCCAGTTCTGGGCTGGGGGTACCACGTGAGTGGAACGTGCTTTTGTGGAGCTTACACACTAATAGACAAGGCAGAACATAATCCCGTAATCACCAATATACGCCCGCAAATGGAGGTTAAGTGCAGTGGGAAAGCACAGGAGGTTATGAAGTCTAGGGGTGATCAGGGAAGGCTTCCTTGAGGAAGCGATGTTTGAGTTGAGACCTGTAGGATGCATAGGAGGAAACCAGGCAGAGAAAAGGAAGAACATTTCCGCTGGAGGGAACAGCACGTGTGCAGGTCTTGTACTGGCGACAAGCTTAGTGTGGTGGGGAAACCGCAGGCAGATCAGTGTGGCTGAAGCAAAGACAGAACAGGGGCAGCACGCAAGAGGAGGCTGGTGAGGTCAGAGCACAGAGGGCCTCATGGGGAGTGTTAAGAATTTTGGTCTTCAGCCTAGGAGTACGGTTCACAAGAAAGGATTATTGTAAGTACTAACACCGCTGTGTGTGGGCACACGTGCATGGGTGCAGGAATGCGGGGGTTGGAGGGACACAGAAAGAAACCAGGAACAGAGATTTTCTTGAGCCGGAACCCGATGCCTGTTGTACTTTCCAACCTCCGCCATTTCTGCCCCAGCTCGGAGACCATCAATCTTGCCATGAGCACCAGAACAGTCCCGGGAAGCTTGGGGCTGGGCAGTGCCAGGGACAGGGTCGGCAAAGCTGCCCAGGACCCCCATAACACTGCTCTCCACCCAAAGCTTCCCCCTCTCACCTCACTTCTGTCGGGCACCTCCAGTCTTGTCTGCGGAGGAGCCTTGACAGCGATCACTGTCTGCTCCTTAAAGTTGCCGACAGCACGGATGTCCTGGTAAGTCACATAGGCCAGTGTAGGGGCAGGAGAGTCAAGAGAAGTGACTGTCTGGTCAAAATTTGAACCCACAGCCTGCCAGCCAGGCATCTCGCCCACCTCTCCTAGGCCTCTGAGTATCTCCTTCTTACTCCTTACACAGATAGAAATAACCAAAAACTATAACCTGTTCTTTTAAAGTCATAAGCTACCTTGGATCCCTTTGGAAAGCAAATGGGGGAATAAATCATTAAAAAAAAATGCCGCATTATATCAGCTTTTTACATAAAAGCTTCATCTCTGAAACTAACTAGATCAGTAGCTCTGAGAAGGCAGGAGACATGTCTCATTTCTTCATATATCTCACAATGCCTAGCATCCTTCCAGAAATACAAGGGCAGATCCAAAAACCGATTAGATGGCGAAGCCATTTGGGGAAAATGTATGAAAAGCCTTAGCAAAGGCCACGCTCTTTGACCTTATCGTTTCGATCCTGGGGATCTGACCTAGGGAAGTAAGTGAGAAATTTAGGAAAATGTTCTATATACAAAGATATTCATCACACTGTTGCTTTACAAAAGTACAAATCTAGAATCAATCTAAATGTTCATTCTAGGCCTTATCAATAAGCCAGAGTATAGTCTGAGTAGGACATTCTCAAACCATGTAAAAGACGAGTTTAAGCCATATGAAATTGCTATTTTTGTGAAAGATGGTCCAATATCAGCAATTTCATGTGGATCAGTCAAATAGTTAGGAAGGATGTGTTACAACATAAAAACTGTCTATGGTGACATGCTAAGTGGAGAAAGGCAAGATATAAAATCTTATGTATAGCGGGGCACGTGCTGTATTTAAATAACACAGACCCTGTCTATAGTTAAGGAACAATGGCTGGGTTAAGGTGGCAGCTATTTCTTTCTTTTCTCCATTTTCCATATCTAAAGAAATGTACTTGTCTTAGTTTTATAATGAGAAAGTAACTTCAATAGACTCAAGAGGAAAAGCCCCTGAAGAAGGAAGAAACAGAAGCCAGAGCGAAAGGGTGACTTAGTCCCCGCATGGAGGTCTTGCATCATGTCTGCATGGAGAGGAGCATGCCGAAGGCCCCTGCTCCCTGACTCCTCCCCCCAACCAAAGAGGATATCTCTTGTTGGCCTTGTCCTCGGTCAGGTGCTTGAAGTTCAGAGAGCAGCTCTGGATGAGCTGGTCCAAGGCCTGCTCCATGCTCATCAGCTCCTTCAGCTCCTGCCCCAGCTGCTGCTGCTTCCCAGGCCGGGTGGGATCTTCAAACATTCCCCTGCCTCTGAGAACAGAGCAGCCCGCCAGGGTCAGTCTCAGACCACATCCGGGGACCCCAACCCCAGGGTTGCTGTGCAAAACTGCACGGATGGTGCAGGCCACACTCCAGGAAGAGCCTGTCCACATCGTCTACGATGGTGCCCCCTGGGTTGTGCAAATCAGTGGTCTTGCCAGGCTCCCAGGAAGCTGCCAGGGACTGGAACTTGAGGTTTAGGGGTTGGGCTAGAGAAGAGAAACAAGTCAGGCCTGACTCCACTTTTGGGGGGCTTTCAACTGTGTCCACCCTCTGTTCCAGGCTCCCCTAAGTGGCAGGGAGCTGGAGTGACCTCAGTCCTGACTCCTCTGCCTGGGTTCTCTCAGGGTTCATGCCAGGGGCTGCAGGTCGCTCTTTCAGACATTGTAGAAGTGACGGAAGGAGTCTTGAGCAGTTACGTCTCGGAGCTGGAAGGAGTCTGGGTTACTACAGCTCAGCTCGCAGGGGACTTTCCTAAGCTAGAAGAGGGCGAATCTTGGGATCCCTGACTCAAGCGGACCTGGTATGCTCTGAAGCCTTTACACAACCCAGAAATCCCTCTCCACCTTCCCCCTGCCATGTTCTATTACTTCCGCAGTGCACCTGCTTTTCCACCCCTCTTAAATACATTGGCTCCGCCCCCAGACTATAAGCCTATTGGATGTTGCTCTTGCTCGGATCCCAGCATGTGTGCCCACTGGCTGTTGCTCTCAGCCCTGCCCTTGACATTCACAGCCGCTGGATACTGCCCCCAGCTGTGCCCACAGCATGTGCACCCACCGGTGCCATCGGCCCCAGCCCAGGCACTCACACCCACTGGATGTTGTTCTTGGCCTTCTTGCGGATGAGCTGGATGCCCTCCAGCACGTTGGTGATGTCATAGATGCGCCGCTTCTGCACGTCCAGCACCTCAGCAGCCCAGTTCAGGTCCAGGACACCATCCTCGGACTCACTCAGGAGATAAATGAACTTCTTGGTGAGAAGCCCCAGCGACGTGTCATACCGAGTCTTCTCGCCGGGGGATTTGGGGGCTGAGGAGAAAAGGGGCCCAGTAACTGCTCAGAGAGGGCCAGCCTGGGGAACCCCCTCCCTTGACCTGGACCCATGAAGTACCACCCTTCATATGAGCACCCACTTTCCAGTTTACAGAGCACTATGAGGCAGGGGTCATTCACCACCATTGTCCAAACAGGGAACCTGATACCTAGAGAGGAAAAGTGACTTGTTTAAGGCCTCACAGTCAGGGGCAGTGTCAGGACTAGAAAGCAAGCATCCTAACTCCTGGTTCAGAGCACCTTCCCACCACAGCTTGGGGCAACCATACCACCACCACCAACAACAACAGTAAATGTGTAGGTCACTGTTCTAAGCAGTATTTGTTGCATATACAACACATGTAATCCTTACAACACCGTGTAAAGCTGATGCACAACCATCCCCATTTTATAGATGAGACTACTGAGGCACAGACAGCTTAAGTAACTTGCTCAGCTCACTCAGCTAGAAAGTGGCAAAGCTGGGATTTAAATTCAGGCAGTCTGGCTCCAGAGTCTTCCTTCTTAACCATTGCCCTATCCTGCCAGTTATGTCAGGAATCTGCAATGAGAGAAGGGAGGGAAGGATGAGCTTGGTTGAGAGCATTTTTATAGGCTTGCTTTTTCTTTCCATGCGTAGCCCAGTGATGATCTGAGAGGAATCAGTCCTGGGACAACAAATGGGGAAGGTTCATGAAAAAGGTGAACCTTCTTAATGAGGTCAGTGTCACAAGACCACTTCTTAGCTGCAGCGTCTTAAACCACAGGAGGACTTGTGCAATCAAGTGACTTGCAAGTCACATAGCAAGTTAGTGGCCAAACTAGTTCTGGAAACTGAGTTTTAGCGAGTCTCAGATTCCTTGGGAGAGGGACTTTAGAATCTCTTAACATATAGATGGCAAGCATTTGGCAAACAGAAAATTTTGCCAAGCTCTGCACTCGTGGCAGACATTACTAATTCATCAGCACACTTAGGATCCTTCAATAAAAAGCTCTGGGCAGCCTCTATCAATCAACTGCGTAGGAAACTTTCTTGTTTTTCCTGACCTAGCTGTATCTCGTTTTACAGATGAGACAACTAAGGGTCACAGAAGAGGAGTGACCGGTCAGGTCAGGGCAGAGCCTGAGGTAGTGTGGGTGGGATGAATCCCAACTTCACTTCTCTCTGCACCTCTGACTTAGCTCTCTGTCTGCATGTGGGAAAGACCTTAGTTAGCCCCTCCTCCTCTCTGAGCTGGATTCTCTCTTAGCAAAGCTCGGATTGAACTAAACAGAAAAACTTTTTGAAAATAGTAAGCTCCTCAATAACACGTCACCGGTTTAGATCACGGGAGTGGTGTGTGGTGTGGGAGAAGCAGTGTGGCACTGGGTTCTAGTCCTGACTCCACTTCTGGCAATGTGACCTCGGACAAGTCACTCCAGCTCTGCGTCTCAAGGGCCCCAGCAGAGAGGGGGACGATCCTGCCCACCTGGCGGGACCCAGGGAGAGCACGCACAGGAAACTGTTTTGTAAACCAGGAAGTGTGCTCCAACTATTACTCCTGGTGGCCTGGGCAGGGCTGTACCCTCTGCCCCCACTCCCTCCCCGTCTCCTGAGCCCGCCTTCAGATGCCCCATCAGGCCGCTTACTTTTGGGGCTGGGGAGGCCATCCACTCTAACGCTCTTCCCCTTGGGAGTCCGGAATTCAGGGACCGCAGGCCTGCCGATTCCCTCCAGGTCCAGCTTCCTTTTGGCCTTGGAGAGAGAGAGGCAGAGTTTGAGGATCGTTCCCCCTCAGCCTTTCCCTGTCCTGGGGCCAAAGCACTGAGGCTACCAGCAGCCATCTCCTGCCTCAGTTTACCACCAGTCCTGGTGAACTATCACTGTACCTGGTAAGGAAATATCAATGGCCTGAAAGAAAGCTTTCAGGGGAAGGAAGTCCTGTTCTCTGAGGGGCACACAACACTCCCGTCCTCTGAAGCCCGGGCACTTGAGACCCGATCAAGGTTAGTCGCTCAGGGCTCCTTAATTGCAGGCCCCAAGGTCACTTCTACATCTGCCTCCGCCCCCCCCACACACCCAGAGGATGATGTAGGGAGGAAGGAGTGGGTGGGGCCTAAACCACATCAGGCTGGGGAGAGGCCCCCCCGACAGAAGCAGCTGGGCCAGCCAGACTGTGTGCCCATCACTGCTCTACAGCTGGCCCTTATCTGGGTGGGGCTGGGCATCCGCCCAGGCCCAGGGGACTTCCTGGCTCCGTGCCACACCCCAGGGAGGTGCCGAGATCTGGAAGCAGTGCAAACATCCCCCCCCCACCCCCCGTTTGGGCTCAGCTCAAGGGCCCCAGGGCCTCCTGAATAGACCCCATTTGCCATTCTTTCTTTGCCGAGAGGGGTAGACAATGAATCCTTCCCCTGTGTCTTAAGGACTGGCAGCTGAGGTCCCCCTGCTCCCCCCTCCCTGTTCCCGCCAAGCTTGGGAAACACCTGCTGGGGAAATCAAACCACAGACCCATCTGTTCCTCTCCACCCCACTGCCACCCGGCCCCAATTAGGCCCAGAGGCCGTGCTGGCCCGGAAGGGGCCTCTCCTGGTTAGGGCTGGGCAGGGGCAGGGCTGGGGCACTGGGGCACAGGTCAGAGCCCGGGGCTTGACTCTCCCAGCTCCTTCACGGGCTCACTGTGTGACCTGGGGCAATGCTCCACATCTAGAAGCCTCAGTTTCCTCCTCTGTAAAATGGGGCAGCAAATACCTACCTCAGGGGCTGTTGTAAGGATTCAAGGAGATAACTTCCGTGAAGTGCTCAGCCTCTGGCTCAGCACACAGTAGGTGTTCAGGAAATGCAGAGTCCCTTCCAATCTCGGCCTCTTCGTTGACACACCCTTCTGGGGGTCACTGAGCCATTTCCTTCCTCTCCCCCTCCCCCACCACCCCAACCCTGCTTGGGATACAGACGCCTATTTTAACCTTTGGTGGTGAGGTCATGCTCGGCAGGGCTGAGACTTCTAACCGCTGCTAAGCACAGCTGGGCTGACAGGTGTGGGAGGTGGTGACAGTTCTTCCTGCTATCAGCTCCCCTCCCCCCACTCCTGCCTCCTCCAGAAAGTCTTCCTGGACTGATCTGAGGAGCCCTGGATATGACGCTCCGCTCCTCCACCCCTACCCAGAGCAGGACATGATCCGAACACCTCCCTGCTCATTCCTCTTGAAGTCTCTCTGGAATCTTCCTTTTATAACCTCCCAGCTGGAGAGATCCTAGATTCTAGGGAAAGTGACCTGCTCTGGCTCCATCTTGTCTCTAGAGAAAGGCCCAGTCATTTGCTGAGACCTTCCACATGCCCTGGGCCAAGCCCCAACATTCACTACCTCACTGAATCTTCCCAGGACCACTAATCCCCATTTGACAGCCAAAGTCACTGAGGCTTGGTGAGCTCCAAGGCCTTAAGCACTCCTGATGGAGGTTGTCCGTCCCAGCATCCTTCATCCATCCCTCAGAGGAAAGGCCAAGGGCAGGGAGAGGATGGGGAGTCAGGCTGAGTTCCACCAGAGGCAGAGGTGGGGCAGCCCAGAGTTGTCCCCAACCCCACCCACCTCCCCCACCTGCGAGGAGCCAGCCCCTGCTGAGTTCACAGAACACACCAGGAAGAACCTCACTACCTGCAAAGCGGGGAGAAGGAGGGGAGGGCCTTGAACAGAGGACCTGTGCTGGGCCTATCACGTGCTCATCAGTCCTGCAACAGCAGTATTGGTAATATCTCTTGGTAGAAGAGAAGTGGAGACTCAGAGAGGTTAAGCCACATGCCCAAGGTCACACAGACAAAGGACAGAGCCAGAGTTTGAACCTAGGTCTGTCCGATTCCAAAGCCATAGACCAGGCTGCCTTGGCTCCATCCCACACACATTGCCCCAGAATTTGCTGGGATTTGAGCCAAGACCTGGCTATGTCCACCTGTCCCCATCACTTTACACACACACTCCAGTCCCACCAGTCCCCTCCCTTCTCTTACTCTCCCTCACCCTCATCCTGCACGCCAAGGGTCCCTAAGCAGCAAAGTGTCCCCCACCCAAGGACATCTCCCTGACATCTTTGGGCACTGCCCAGAGAAAAGTCAGCCCACGGATGGGTCTAAGCCTGCAGGACAGAGGCGGCAGAGGACAAGCCTAGGGGGATGAGGAACGAGGAGAGGCGGAGCACAGGCCTTGGAGTCAGACCTGCCTGGGTTCCCATCTAGGCTGGGTGAGCTGGGAAGTCGGCTGACCTCTTGAGCCCCATCTGTGAAATGGGGATAATCTGCTCGACACCTCTGCTGAGGATTCAGTGAGACAGCAAAGCGCCCTGCTCACGCAGGGCAGCTGCTGTCACCAAAGCGCCAGGGGCCCCAGCAGGGGAGAGTTCAGAGTGGGGCTGAAAAGAGACGGGATGTGCCAAGAGCCAGGGCCAGCGTGGCTCTAACCTGGACCCTCCCAGGCAGCCCCTTTGGCTGTTTCCTAAAAGGCCTGCTTAGGATTCGAGCCCACCTGCCAACCCAGAGGAAGAAGAACAAAGCTCCTTCCACAGGCAGCCCCGGGAGTGGGAGGGCCAGAGACCACCAGACACAACTCCTTGCAGTCACCTAGGTGAGGGAAGCAGGGCTCGGGGGAGGGGAAGTGATGTGCCCAAGGTCACATGGGGATGGAGCCAGGTCTCTCCTGAGCCCCAGTCCTAAGTTAGACAGTGGGGCAGGAGCAGGTGGCAGTCAGAGAGCCTCGCTGTCAGACCCCAACTCTGCCACAGGGAGCCTGGGAGTCACTGCCTCACCTCTCTGAGCTGTATGTCCTCATCTGACCTGCCTTGCAGGGTTGTTCATTAAAATGTTCACTTTCTTTCATGGTTCTCAGACGAAATTTGGAAAATAGAGACAAATGAAAAGGAAATAGAAAAGAAAAGGAGAATCGTGCAGAACCCCACCCTCTTCACAGGTTCCTCCAGGGATGAAAGAGAATGATGCAGTGTGCCTGGCGGGAGTAGGGACGCAAAAAGAGCATCCCAAGCCTGCGCCAGAGGGTGGCGGGAAGAGCGCTAGACAGGGAGCGAGGGAACCTGGGCTCTGGCCTTCATTCTGCTGTTGAACTTGGTTGCCATCCCTGGGCAGTGCCTGAGTTCCCTTTAAACAGCTCCCCAACAAATCCTGCTCGCCCTGCACTTTGCAGCCTGGCCGCAAAGCAAGGGGCCACACCCAGGGTTGGGTCTGGAGCTGCTCCAGGTCACACCCTGGTAAAATGAGTAAGCAGGGTCCAAGGCCTGCCCACAGGGCTGGGGGCACGGGGCGTCTGGAGACGGACACGAGAGGGGGCTCTGGGCCTGCTCGGCCTTTAGGGTGGTCTGAGGCAAGGACACTCTCCTACTTCTTGGCTTGTGACTTGGACAAGTGACTTCACATCTCTGCTCAGTTTCCTCATCTGTAAGATGCCTCATCCCAGGCTTCTTGACCGAGATAACGAATGAGAAGAGTGCCAAGCAGTGCCTGGCACACGAGAGGCGTTCAGTAAAAGAGAGCCATTCTTGCTGTGATCACTGAGCCCCTCTGGGAGGGAGGTACAGACAGATGCACTCAGGCTCCCCGGGGAGGGAAGCAGTTCAAAACCACAGCTGTTACTGAAACTCCGCCCGAGCGCCTGAAAGCAGCTGGCCAGAGGAGACTGGGCCTGCCTCTGAGCCCCTTCCCCGGGGCCACCCAGCTCCTAAGTCAGGCAGCACTGGGGAAAGTCATGGCTGCAGAGAAGAGACTAATGATCAATGCCCTGTGGGTCATACACCTCCCTGTATGACCTTAGACAGGTCACAGGCCCTCTCTGAGCCTGTTTCCCCTGCAACATGGAGCTGCTAATGCCATCTACTTCACAGAGTATAAAGCTGTTTTAAGCTGTAAACTGCTGAACACAAGACACGTACTCAGTCCTGGTTATCCTTGGCTACTTGACCTGTAAAATGGGACTAGCACTCCTCTTAGCTGAAAATAACGGCAGGAAGGGACTCTGGGAAGGTTAAAGCCTTAAGCATGGGCAAAGCATGATTCCAGTGGCAGGAATGGGGGCTCTGCCTGCATCCAGAGCTGGCTGGGGGCCTGTGCCTGCTGACTGCCACAGGCCTGACCAGATGCCTCTAGGGCAGTGGGGGTGGTTTATCCCTGTACCTGAACTTATTCATCACTCACAACTAAGCAAATCTACAACCCTCCCATCTCCCCGCCCTGGAGACTGCTTCCAAGACCCAGAACCTGGAGCTGGGAGTGACCTGAATTAGCTGTACAGCCACTCCATGCACACACACAGTTTCAAGAAAAGGAAACTGAAGCCCAGACTGGAGCCAAGACTCGTCCAAGGACACACAGTGAATTAGTGGCAGTCAGGACCAGAAATCAGGCTCCCCAGCCACCACCCCCACTCCCTCACAGCTTTTCCCACCCCACCCCCACCCTCTGGTTGTTTCGATTCTCATGGGCTCCAGCAATTCCACTCCCACAAAACACACCCTGTGCCTGGTGCCACCACACTTAGGGCCCTCCCTGGCAATGGGCCTGGGGGCTTAAGCAGGGAACAATCAATCTCAGCAGGAACCCCAGGGGGCTGCCCTCCACTTGCACCTGCTACTGGCTGTCTGGGAGGGAAGACTGGGCCTGGGGGAGAACCTAGGGCACATAATTGGGAAGGAGTTGGCTGGATGGAGAGTTTGGAGTCTGTCCAAGCCAGACTGGACCTGAGAGACCTCGCCTCCATTTTAAAGTCCCCACGGAATCCCCAGGCCAAGCTCTCTGCCTGCACAATAGCAGGTGCCCAGTACTGGTTTCTGGGCCAAACAATGAATGAAGGAATGAATGACTGATGGCAAAGTTGGCTCTGTGGACTTCCCCAAAGTCACACAGTGCACTGGGGGTAGTGGGGTGGGTCTCCATGCTCCCAATCCAGTGCTCATTCCACTTCACTCCAGTGGATGAGATTATTTCATCCCAAGTCTGCAAAATGAAGTACTCAGATATTGGGGGCAATGGGTCGTTCGGGAAGCTGAAAACTCCCCTTGTCCCTCCCCAAACTCTACCTGCTTCACTCAACCAGGGTCCCAGGCGCCCCTCCCTCCTTTCCCACACCCGGAAAAGCATAGGGGGAAGCGATGGGGGTCCCCAGCATTACCGGCAGCCGGCCAGCCGGCACGCATCGTACAACTTGGCTCTCGGGTCCGTGTGGGGTGGCGTCGAGGCAGGTGCCCGGCGGCGCCGCAGGGGGAGGCACAGTCTGCGGGTACAGCGTGGTGTAGTAGGTGGTGGTGGCCGGGCAGAGCTGAGGGCTGCTGAGGCCGGGCGACCACAGCTCGGTGGGGCTCATCGCGGGCAGCCCCTTCGGGGGCGGCCCAGCCGCAGGAGCCAGGGCCCGGGGCCCTCGCAGCATGACGAGCGCAGCGCCCCCTCCCCAACCGGGCCTGGCGCGCCCGCGGACACCTGCAGGCTCCCGAGCCCACGCCGGCTCACACGGCCCGCGGCATGGCGCGGAGGCCGGGGGAAGCCGCCAATGGACGTCTGCGGGGCAAGGCCGGACCCTCCCTCCTGGCCCGCGGCCGAGCCGAGCAGCGCTTGGAGATCGCCGCTTGGAGATCGCCCGGTGGCTGCGGCGGCGGCACGGCCAGGGGCTGCCCCGCCCCGAGGGCGGCCGCGACCCGGGACGGCCCCGCGCCCCCGGAAGGCCTCGGCACCTGGGGTCGGGCCCGCTCCGGGGAAGGGTCTCTGGGGTGGCCACCGGCTCGGTGGAGACGCGATGTACTCGGACGGGGACGGGGACCGATTGCACGGACTCCCTCTCGCCTCCCTCTCTAGTTCCCGAGTCTTTCTCTGCCTATTTTTTTTCTTCTTTTTTTTTTTTAGCGCCAAACTGCGTGCCGCGAAATTCGGATCTCCCGCGGAAAATGCCGCGCTCCGGTTGGCCGCTGCAACACGCACAGGCTCCACCTCCCGGAAAGGACCGGTCCCCAAGGCAGCGATTACAACACGAGCTTCGCTGCTTAAAGGGGCCGCCACACCTGCTGTCGCCCGCCGGCCTCCCGCCGCCGGCGCTAGCAGCCCGCGAAGCAGACTGCTCTCGCGCAGTGCGGAGGCCGCCGGAGCAGCGCGCTGAGGAATGGCCCCCAATTCCCTGGTGGTTGGGGGAAAGATTTGGGCACGGAGTCCTGACCTGAGCCCAGACCCAGCAACACATTGCCCCGGCCGCATTGTTGCTTAGCGGGCATATATGCATTTATATCCACCCCCCCGCCCCCATCCCCACTAAAAATGAAAGCCAGGAACCTGTTCTCTTTCTTGGTAGGGGTTGATAGAGGGGCAAGGGACGGAGTCTAACGTTTATACCTCTTCATAGGGGGATACTAACGTCAACTGAGCACCTGCAGTATGCCAAGCACCCTGCTAGATGAATACATGTGTTGTTTTATTTAATTTAATCCAATCCTGGGAAGAAGAATGATTACCTTCCTGGTAAAGATGGAGAGTCTGAGAGGCTAGCTCCCTTTCCCAAGGTCACACAGAAAGAGTCACTGATTTGAGAAGTGGCAGTCCAATCTGGGACAGGCCAGCTCCGGAGCCCTTGTTTGTTCCAATAAAAGGTTCCTCTTTTACTCTCCCAGGCTGTGCCCTGCCCCTTGCATGCATGGGGTGTGTGTGTGCACGCGTGTGCATGCCCAGAGTGCAGACGTCTGTCTTCTTCACTGTTGTATGTCCACAGCTCAACACTCAGTAAGTATTTGAACATCTCCAGGTTTCTCCTGAGTAATCCTTTTGTCACAGAAGCCTCCCTCCCTCCCTCATTCAAAACCTTCATTGCTGATGATCCATTTACAGTCCTCCTCTCTCCGGTTTGGAGATGCTGAGGCTCAGAGAAGTGACCTTGGCTAGTGAGCGGCAGAGCTGCTAGAAGCTGCTGCTAAATTCCAGGTCCACTGATTCCTGCCTGGTGTTGTGTGATTTTTATGCAAGTCTGAGCCTGGCATTCAAGGCCCTCCAGAGTCAAGTCCCCAGCTTAATACCTGGTCCTCATCCTCAGATTGTGAGGATGACATAGCGATAATGCATGGTGATTAAGAGCCCAGACTTTGTAGTAGATGGCCCTGGGTTCAAACCCGGGTCCTGTCACTTTACTAGCTGTGTGACCCCAGGCAAGTTTTGTAAACTCTGAGCCTGAGTTTTCTCATCCCTAATAACCCCTGCCTTATAGGATTATGGAGAAATCTCATGAGATAATGCATGTAAAGCTCTCAGCCAGAGCCTGGTTCATAAAGAACCTCAAAAAACAGCAGCTTTGGTTCCATCTCTAGCCTTATCTCCAGCACACAGACCCTTCACTCCAGTATACATATTTCACGGGTCCTTCAAGGCCCAGCTTAAACTTCACCTTCTCCAGGAGGCCTTCCCTGCCTGCCTCCCCTCTCCCAGTCAGAGTGCCTCTTGCCCTCTTTGGACCCTTATTGTGTTCTGCCTCAACACACTAAGGAGCCCTCAAGGGCTCAGGAGCTGGCCTGTCCCAGATTGGACTGCCAGTTCTCAAATCAGTGAATCTCTCTGTGTGACCTTGGGCAAGTTAGCCAGCCTCTGCTCTGTTTTCATGCCTTGTTTACCAGGTTCTAAGCTCCCTTGAGGACCCAGGTGTTCTGTGTTCTCTCTCTCTAAATGCCCCTCAGCATGTCAGGCCTGGCGGGGCATGCAGAAGGTGGGTAATAAATATTGATTATGCGATTTGCTCATCTTCCCAGCAAATAGAGGCAGAAGTTAATGAGATCTGAAGTCAGAAACTCATGAGGCCCGATGCAGGTTCCACTCTCCACTGCCTGGCTCAGTGACCCTGGACAGGCTCCACCTCTCAACCCCAGTCTCCTCAACCGTAAATATGGAGAATTCTTCCACTCAGCCTATTTTACCGGACTTCAGGGACACTATAAAGTGATGGTGGTGATGAGGCTCATTAATATTTACAGAACCTACTACAGATTCTGAATGTGCCGGGCTCCGAGCCTTGGGCATCTGTTCTGATCCTCATAACACCCCTCTGAGACAGGCACTATCATTATCCCCATTTTACAGATGAAGAAACCTGGAAGGAATTGTGGCAGAGCAGGTTTGGGGAAGGAGCAGAGCCTCAGGGCCAGGAAGGGAGATGGGGGTGGCAGGGTGGGGCTGAGAAGAAAGAAGGGAGCCAGCAGGGGGGCGGCGAGCCAGCTCTCTGCGGTTGAGTTTCGGGCAGCTGGGACTGGCTTTAGAGTTTCACTGCCTGGGAACTGACTAATTCCTGCAAAAGCTGTGGGGTACAGATCTGCAGCCTGGCTCCCCATGTCCCGTCCATTCCTAGTGTGCACTCTTGGTCAGGTCGCTGGACCTCTCTGAGCCTCAATTTCTTCATCTTTGAAATGAAGATGGCAAAAGTGAACTTTCCATTTATGGTGAGGATTCAGTAAGGCATTGGATAGAAAGTTCTCAGAGGGGTGCACAGTAGGTACTTAATACATTTTAGCTAAGATTTATGCGGACGGACCAAAGAGGTCCTCATATGGAACTGAACGAAAATACTTACAGTTTTCCATTCAGGCCCTACACTTCCCCATTTCCCAGGCTTTAATTACATGGCTCCATATGCACAGGGCCCCTCCTCCCTTCCATCCCTACGTGGTCAAATCTGATCCAGCCTTCAAGGCCCTACTCAAATGGTGGAGGGGCAGGAGCAATGAGTCTAGAGTTAGACGTCCAATGACACTTCAAACTCCTTGGGAGCAGGACCATGGTTTGTTTTTACCTTTGTGCCTCCTCCCTGAGAGTGCCAGGCACATAGTAGGCCCGAAGTAGTGATGATGGTGATAACAGCTCATGTCTTCTGAGTACTTCCTCAGTATAAATCCCCCAGCCAGGCCCTTCACATGCATATTATGTTGAGACCTCCCAACTACCCTGTGACATGGGTACAGTTTGGACAGACAAGGAAACTGAGGCTCAAACAGGTAGAGGGGGCCGGCCTGGTGGTGTAGTGGTTAAGTTCACTCACTCCGCTTTGGTGGCCTGGCATTCGCTGGTTTGGTTCCCGGGCACAGACCTATGCACTGCTTATCAAGCCATGCTGTGGCAGGCATCCCACATATGAAGTAGAGGAAGATGGGCACGGATGTTAGCTCAGGGCCAATCTTCCTCAGCAACAAGAGGAGGATTGGCAGCAGATGTTAGCTCAGGGTTAATCTTCCTCAAAACGAAAAAAAGAGTCATGTAGAGGGACTTGACCAAGGGCTGGTTAAAGATGAAATCAGGATCTGAACTCAGACCTCTGTCTCACAAGGCACTGAACCATTTTGAACAAAGAACTCAGCCCCAGGACCCCACGTGAAGGCGAGTGTGTTCCTCTGATGAACCAGGAGTTGCAGTGCTGCAGACACTGTTGGGGTGGAGTGCACCCCACAACTAGATAAGCGAGGGATGCTTAGTCCCATTTTCCAGATGAGGAAGCGGAGGCATGGAGGACACTAAATGACCTGCCTGAGGCTGCACAGCTGGTCAGGGAGGAGCCCCCATTCCAGTCAGGCCCTGAAGGCCCGGAAAAGCCCCCAAATAGCAAACGTCCCTTGCAGCTGGTGTATCTTCTCCTGAAAAATGCCTCAGATTCCCTCTGCTCAGAATCCTCCTTATCAAAATACAAAATGCTTGATGGAAGCTTCCTGAATGCAAAGACTTCCTGTTCCGGGGCTCCCTACTGTGTTACCTGTTCACGCCAACCCCAAATCAGAGAGAAGCCAAACGGGAGCCATGGGACGGAAGGAAGAGAAACCTCTGCTCCATCTTCTCTGTGCTCCTCTGTACAGGCTGGTCCAACTATTCTATAATAAGCACGTATTACTGTGGGAATTGGAGAGAAAAAGTTGCTTTTTTAAAGAAACAACTTGCTGCTTCAGGGAAGTTCTGCTAGTGATAACAATGCTTTTGCTGGAAAATTGTTAGAATGTGGATTCATGGGTTCTCTGAACTGGCACATAGTAAATACTATATGAATGTTTGTTAAATAAACAAAATTCTGGGCCCTGACACTCTTTAAGCTGTGTGCTCTTGGGCACATCATTGCACGACTCTGGGCCCCAATTCCTTCACCTGTGAAATGGGGCTGAGCATGACTGTCTTATAGGGTTATTGTGATAGGTGAAATCTGGGATGGTACGTGAATGTGCTGTGTGTATGTGTGTGTGGCATAATATTACCAAAATGTGTTGAGAAGGTAAAGGATTTGGATGGACGAACCTCCAAAGAAGATGCACAGAAATGAATAAGCACATAAAAAGATGCTCAACATCATTAGTCACTAGGGAAATGAAAATCAAAACCACAACGAGAATCACACCCACTAGGATGGCTATAGTCAAAAAGACTGACACTAACAATTGTTGGCTGGGACGTGGAGAAATTTTTGAACTCTCATTCATTGCTGGTAGGAATGCGAATTGGTGCAGCCACTATGGAAAACAATTTGGCAGTTCCTCAAAAAAGTTAGACATGGAGTTACCGTATGATCCGGGAAGTCCATGCTTAGATATATACCCAAGAGAACTGAAAACAAATGTTCACACAAAAAACGTGTACGTGAATGTTCATAGCAGCATTAATCATAATAACCAAAAAGTGGAAACAA